GGGACGGCCGTAGGTGGGGACGGGGCCGGGCTCTGTCTGAGCTTGCCTGTGACTTGCCATGTGGCCTTGGGGTGTGACTCCCCCTCTCTGGGCCCCAGTGCCCCATCTATTGAATGGATGGGTTTGAACTGTGCCTTCCGAGTGGGTGCCTCAGCCTGGTGCTTGTGTGGCTGGGGAAAGTGGGGCAGGGTGTTTGTCCCTGGCAGTTTGTGGGCTGGGTCGTGTGACCACCCACCCATTCAGGGGGCCTGGACACTTGCCGGCTGATCTCCGGGCTGGTTGGGGCTCTGGTCGCTTCCTGCCGGGATGTGGCCTGGTTCCGCCGCGGTCACTCTGGGTGGGCGTGGGGCCGGAAGCCCCTGCCCAGCCCTCGCCCGCCGCCCGCCCAGGTGGTGTGCACGCTGGTGGCCGCCTTCCTGCACTTCTTCTTCCTCTCCTCCTTCTGCTGGGTGCTCACGGAGGCCTGGCAGTCCTACATGGCTGTGACGGGTCGTCTCCGGAACCGGCTTGTCCGCAAGCGATTCCTGTGCCTGGGCTGGGGTGAGCAGCCGCGGGCGGGCGGGCGGGCAGGCGGTGTGGGCCATCTGTCCTGGCACCTTGTTCCCGGCCCCTCGCAGCCCCTTCCCCCCTTGTCCCTGCCCCCCGCCAGCCTCTCTTGGCTCGTCCCTCTGGCCTCCTCCCTTCGCATGGCGGGTCACCAGATAAAGCACAGGAAGCTCGTCACATGGGAATGGCAGGTGAACGAGGACTCTGTTCTTAGTGTAAATGTGTCAGTCTGTCCTGCTGGGGTGGCTCACGTGCTACTGTGATGCTGGAAGCTATGCCACCAGTATTTCAAATACCAGCAGGGTTACCTACAGTGGACAGCTCTCTGTAGAGCTTCCAGACTAAGGCCTACCAGGAAGAAAGGCCTGGTGATCTACTTGTGAAGATCAGCCAATGAAAACCTCATGGGCTGTGCCAGAATGCTGTCCAGCTGTGGTGCTGGCAGATGCGCCCCCTCGGTTGGGAGGCACTCACCACACACAGTGGACTCGAGCGTATCAGCGATGGTGAGGATGGTGCAGGACCGGGTAGCGTTTTGTTCTGTCATACTTGAGGTCGCCGTGAGTCAGAGCGACCCAGCGTCAGCTGACAACATGCCCCGTGCAGTACCTGGGACACACTTCCACTAAAGAATGAGTCCTCGTCACCTGAGGTTCACACCTGGCTGGCGTCCACCATTTGCACTGCCCCTCTGGTTCCGTGGGGCCTTCTCTTGTCCACCCTGGCCCACCTCTCTCACACTCGCTGTCCCCTCCTGTTGCGGGGGCCTCCTCTCTGCCAGCAGGGCTGGGAGGAGGCAGGGGCGGCAGGGGGTTCGGGTGGCGGGGGACCGACACCTTTCTTTCCGGCCCTTCTCCAGGGCTCCCTGCGCTGGTCGTGGCCATCTCTGTGGGGTTCACCAAAGCCAAAGGGTACAGCACCATGAACTAGTGAGTCCCCACCCTACACCGTCCCATCTGCCAGCCACCCCATCTTGCAGATGGGAAAACCGAGGCTCAGAGAGGCGGGGGTACCCAAGCTGGAGGCTGAGCCACAGCCCCCGGGTGGCCCCTCCCGGGAGAGGGCCACGGGATTGAGAGAGTCTCCAGCCCCTCCACCAGGTGGCCGTGGGCGGATCCATGAGCCTCTCTGAGCCTCAGTTTCCCCACCGTGCAGGTGCTGACGAGAAAGCAGACGGGGAGCAGCAGGTGTGCCCCGTCCGGGGCTCAACCCCTGGTGGTGGGAGGGTGGGCGGCGGATGCTGATTTTCAGTTGATGTCACTGAGGCCTGAGGGTCAGCCGGGTCCAGGTCCTAGGGCCTTGAAT